CTTTGCTGTCGCACGTATGGGCCGGCTCAAACCGGGGTGGTACCACGACCTCACAGAATACCGGCGTGAAGTGGAAGCTCTGCTTCCGCGTTTCGTCTGGTGAGTGCAGGTGGCCGGAGGCCCAAATCCCCCCCCCCCCCCCCATCAACATGGTAGCGGAATTAAATGATTTCGCATTTCCAGCACCCCTGGAGAATCCCTCGCTGAGCATCCACGACCATGTTTCTCCACTTCTGAGCGTGGGTGCTCAGGCTGCCTCGCGTATTCTGGGGGATGCAATATTCCGCTCAAGACTAAAACTGCTCGGGGCAAACGGAGCAACAAGACCAAGGCGACCCCTGCCACGCTGTCCGTGAATTTCTGCAATATCAGGGGACTTCACTCTAACCTAAACGCCGTCCACTACCATCTCGAGACGGCGAGGCCGGCTCTGCTCTTTCTGACCGAGACGCAGGTGTCCTCTCCGGCTGATGTCTCGTATCTCTCCTGCCCGGGGTACAAACTGGAACACTCCTTTGTGCCTCGGGCTGGAGTTTGCGTTTACGTCAGAGAGGACATCTGTTCTCGACGCCTCGGCAGACTTGAAGGTTCGGACCTGTCCATCCTTTGGCTACGCGTAGACAGCGACGACCATCCGCGCGTCTACGGGTGCCTCTATAGGTCCCATAGCGGTAATGCCGAAACAGACCGACTCTTCGACCACGTCCAAATGGCTGCAGATTCGTTGCTACAGCAGATCCCCTCCGCAGAGATCGTGATCCTCGGCGACTTTAACGCCCATCACGCCGAATGGCTCGGTTCACGTTTAACCGATCATGCGGGGAGATCTGTTCATGATTTTGCCTTGGCATATGGTCTGACACAACTGGTTACTTCGCCTACGCGGATTCCAGATGTGGAGGATCATGCACCTTCCCTGTTGGACCTTCTGCTGACCTCTCACCCGGACGGATATCAGATTTCCGTCGACGCCCCTTTAGGCTCCTCGGACCATTGTCTTGTCCGGAGTGTGGTGCCACTCACGCTGAAATCGCGGTTGCATTCTGCAGGCTGCCGCCGTGTTTGGCACTATAGGTCAGCCGATTGGGATGGGATGCGGTCTTTCTTTGCATCCTACCCTTGGGGGCGGGTTTGCTTCTCGCCGGATGATCCCAACGTTGTTGCGGATTCTGTCGCTGATGTGGTACTTCAGGGTATGGAACTTTTTATTCCTTCCTCTGTGGTGCCCATTGGAGGCAAATCTCAGCCATGGTTTGGTCGCTCCTGTAAAATAGCATCATGCTATAAGCAGGAGTGCTACCAGGCCTGGGCTGACGCATCAGCGTCCAGGGATGTAAACACCAGCGCTCTAAAAAAGAAGTATAATTCCGCCTCTAGGTCCTTCAAAAGAGTCATTGCCAAGGCAAAGTCAGAGCACATAGGCAGAATTGGCGAGAGACTAGTTCGTCTTCCTTCTGGAACCCGTGCATTCTGGTCTCTCGCCAAGGCTGTCCAGGGGAATTTCTGTCAGCCATCTCTTCCATCTCTGCACAGGGAGGACGACTCACTGGCCCACACCGCAAAGGAGAAAGCCGATCTTCTAGGCTCTTTCTTTGCGTCTAACTCGACTCTCGATGACGGGGGGAGTACGCCGCCGACCATCCCGCGGTGTGAGTGCTCCATGCCGGAAGTGCACTTCACTCAGCGCTCGGTTCGCAAAGCACTCCTCTCTCTGGACATCCATAAGTCGAGTGGGCCTGATGGAATCCCCCCAATTGTGCTGAGGACGTGTGCTCCAGAGTTGGCACCGGTTTTAACGCGTCTTTTCCGGTACTCCTACTCCCTAGGCGTAGTCCCAAAATCATGGAAGACGGCTTTCGTCCACCCGATCCCTAAAAAAGGCGACCGCTCAGACCCGTCCAACTACCGGCCTATCGCCATCACCTCCTTGTTCTCCAAAACAATGGAGTCCATTGTAAACTGCCAGCTCATGAGGTACCTTGAGGATCACCAGCTGATTAGTGACCGCCAATACGGTTTTCGCCGTGGTAGGTCAGCTGGTGATCTTCTGGTCTACCTAACTCACAGATGGGCGGAGGCAGTAGAGTCCAAGGGGGAGGCATTGGCCGTTAGTTTGGACATTGCGAAGGCCTTCGATCGGGTTTGGCACAAAGCGCTTCTTTCGAAGCTCCCTTCCTATGGGCTTCCCGAGAAATTGTGCGATTGGATCACCAGTTTTCTTGCAGATCGGAGCATCAAGGTCGTTGTAGACGGTGCAAGCTCCGATTGCAAGCTTATTAATGCTGGTGTTCCACAGGGCTGCGTGCTATCGCCAACGCTGTTTCTTCTGCATATCAATGATATGTTGCAAACCCGTAGCATTCATTGCTATGCAGATGACAGCACTGGTGATGCTCTTTACACCGGCCGAGCAAATATTTCTCGGGAAAACGTCTCTGAGTGCCGGGACAAACTTGTGTCTGAAGTCGAGTCTCTGCTGGACAGAGTCTCGGATTGGGGGCGACTAAATCTAGTCCAGTTTAACCCCCAGAAGACACAAGTTTGCGCGTTAACCGCTAAAAAGAACCCCTTTGTCGTATCCCCTCAGTTTCAAGGCACTCCCCTTGTTGCCTCAGCCAGTATCGGAATCCTCGGCGTCGACATATCGAGTGACGTGCAGTTTCGTGGTCACTTGGAAGGGAAGGCCAAATTGGCCTCTAAAAAGCTTGGCGTGCTCAGCAGAGCGGGACAGTATTTCATGCCGGCACACCGCCTGCAACTTTACAAGGCGCAGGTTCGGCCGCTCATGGAATACTGTTCCCATCTCTGGGCTGGGGCTCCCCAGTACCAGCTCCTTCCACTTGACCGCATCCAGCGCAGAGCGGCTCGAATCGTCGACGACCGAGTGCTTTCCGATCGGCTCGATTCACTGGCGCTGCGAAGAGATGTTGCATCTCTTTGCGTATTTTATCGCATCTATCACGGGGAGTGCTCTGAGGAATTGTTCGGATTAATCCCAGCCGCCAAATTTCGTGAACGCACTACACGGCAAACGTCCCGATACCATCCACACCATCTGGATGCTTGGCGGTCCACCACTGTACGTTTCAAAAGGAGTTTTCTTCCGCGTACAACCTCTCTGTGGAATAATTTACCACCGGTGATTTTTCCGGACCGATACGACCTGGGGACCTTCAAGAAAAAGAGCTTACTCCTTTCTAAAGGGCCGGCAACGCACCTGCAATTCCCCTGGTGTTGCGGTTGATCATGGGCGGCGGTAGTCACTTAACATCAGGTGAGCCACATGCTCGTTTGCCCCCTCTTCTATAAAAAAAAAAAAAAAAGCATGGCTCTACCACGTATAAGATTGACTCTTAATCGAGAATAAATGTAGATGTCTATGGGCCACAGCATCCACTTACCATCAGGTGGACTGTGTGCTCGTTTGTCACCCTTATTCTATAAAAAAATGCCGCAAACTTCTCTTGTTCGAAAGAAAGATGGAAAGAAAGAAACATTTATTGCTACGCGTCACAAACATCACTAGGTACTTAAATTTCAAAGTTGTAGACACTTCAATAAAAGGATAAGAAAATTAAACAATCAACAATTTGACGGATATTGCATTGATAAAAGTATATACATATATATGGTTATAAATTATAGTAAAAATACTTTCTTCATATTGTGTGTTGTGACGGGTTAGGCAAACTGACCTCACTCAGCTTATGCTATCACCGAAACAACAGCGCTGTTTAGTTAGTTCTGTAGTAAAACATGTCGTCCCCGCATCGGCCTGTTAAGCTATAAAAGCGACGATAAAAAGCCCTCAGACATTGCATCATAAATCGCCTCTTATAGACGCAACGGCCTATATGATTAGCCAACATTACCAAAATATAAAATTACATGGTGAAGGTACCGCGTCAGTGAATTTTGCCCGCAATCATCCGCAACTACATCCCTTAGCTTGATTCATAGATTATTTTATATGTATTTCAGAGATAAAGAATTAGTGTGTCATATTAATTCAAAACCATCTATCAGACAAAGGTTAAGTATGGCACATTAAATATGGTTCATATAAAATATAGCTTGATCTCTGCGACAGCTGTCAGTAAAAATCACGCCTATGAAAGTCCTGAATTTCTTAGTAGTACAGACAGTAACTGTTAATGCCATACTTTATGGGCATGCACTAATTAGGTCGGCATGCCCATAAAGTATGACATTGACCGGTACTACCGATCATAGGCGTGATTTTACTGACAGCTGTCGCAGAGATCAAGCTATCTTTTATGAACTATAAGTACAGATAACCTCCGTATAAATAATATTAACCCAAAATACAATCCGGTTGTGAAATAGTTTCTTTTATAAGCAATTTGGTAAAATATTATTAAAGGAGACACAAAATCTAATTTTTTATTGCTTAATTTTTTTAAATAATTATAATGCTAGGAAGCTTGTACAGCATTAAGAGACATTTTCTAGTTGTTTTTTTTTTTCAAATCAAATAATGACACGTAAAATTTAATTGTATACACTAAAATATAAAAAAGAAATAACTTGTTGTACAACCAAGAAATAACTACTTAAATAAATAATCTATAGATATCACAGAATATAAATATTGCATATTTATTCAGCGGTAATTAAATATATAATTTAAAATAATAATTGTTTAATTTCGTCAGTACCAGCTTATTAAACGTCCAATTCCCTATAGATAGCCTCATAGGGAATATATACTTATCACAGTTATTTTTAGTTGTTATTAGTCTGGTTTGTTTTACTCGGCTATTACGACGCCCACGGGACAATATGGACTGCTATATTGTCCCGTGGTATATTTAATTCTCCACTACACAGCCAAACAAAAAATCAATCAAATTACGCTACTCTTTGTGGCAGAAATTAACTTTTATTCTACGGCCTTACAACAGCCTGTGTTAGGAAAATCTGGTAATTTCACAAGCATCAAATTTCCAATGTTTACTGACAGAGAATAAATAACTCACCGCATGCTTAATGTTTGCAGTTGTTTCAATAATATGTAATCAGCGCTGATGAAGGCACACACAAATCAGTTCACGGTTACAGTAATACTAAGTGTTTATTGTTAAAAAAGATAACAAAAGAAAACATCTCCTTAACAGGCTATCAATTATCACGTTGTGTGCGTGAGGAACAACACGTAGAACGCGTAATTTTGCATATACATTAATCGTTTCGTACAATGGCACAAGTGCCTATCGTTACAGCCTATTAAAGCCCACTGCTGAACATAAACCTCCCCTATAAATTGTCTCATAGGGAGGATATTGGCTATAATTGCCACGCTCGACATTATTAGGAAGATTCTGCTGCCCATCCCCTGATTTGTTTCCCTGTGTCGACTCTTACAACACCCACAGGACGATATGGGATAGTGGATATTCTTACACTGCCACTACACGGTATCGTGCACACACATTATCTATTTACAGAGAATAATTTGCGAGTTAGTTCTCGAAAAAAATATTAGAAACGTAAAGTTGTTGTAAGAAACAGTTCTAACCTAGTTTGGAAGAATTTTGCACTGCTCTGGATGTAAGACCCCGGTTCCTAGTAAGGTTCAGGTGCAGGTTAACACTCATACGTTTTATCCTGACTTTACATAGAGTACATTTCGTCCATCTTTGTTATTTCTCACCTCATTAAGCCTGATAAAAAAAAACTGTCAACCCTAGTAAAGCCCTACTTAGGACCCCACGACGCTATCAAACAATACAAATATATTATAATATATGCATATATAGGGTTCTTTTGCTATAACCGGACTTTGAAGAGAAGGTTCAGAATAAGTAATATAGTGTAATTAAAAATAACATTCTGCCTATTTCATCTTTTAAATTCAAAATGCGTGGTAATCCATTAGTGTAACTGATTTTACTGCGCACGCACAGATTCGTAAGAATCGATCGGTAGGCAAAAACATTGTTGCCTATAAATCACATTCAATTTGGGACAATTTCAAATAAAAATAGAAACCTCATTTACTCGTATTTTCATAAACTACAACTTTTTTTATAGAAGAGGGGGCAAACGAGCATGCGGCTCACCTGATGTTAATTGACTACCGCCGCCCATGATCAACCGCAACACCAGGGGAATTGCAGGTGCGTTGCCGGCCCTTTAGAAAGGAGTAAGCTCTTTTACAATAACGGTATATCATTATTTATATATTTCAACTTAAGTTTAAAATTTGGCTATCCTTTGAAAAATAATACAGTAAAGTAAAGTTACAGCCTATATACGTCCCACTGCTGGGCTCAGGCCTCCCCTCATTTCTGAGAGGGTTTAGGGCAAGGAAGTGTCCGCCGCGCTGCCCAAATGCGTGTTGACGAACTTCACATGTCATCGAAATATATTTTTTTTTTCTTATTCCTCAGACATGCAGGTTTCCTCACGATGTTTTCCTTCACCGCCGAGCACGTGGTAAATCAGCACTTAAAACTGCAATTAACAATTTCATTGGTGCCGGTGGGCTGTTATATTTACAGCGAGCGTTAACCACTGAGCTACCACGGCTCTTTTAAAAATAATACAGGGTTTATTATAAATATGTGCGGGATGTGTATTGGTCATGAGCTTAAAATAATAAGGGAAAGGAATAAGGATTATTTACCCGCTGCTAATCGTGCAGATTTATATTATATAGATCTCCTTTTTTAAAGGATAAGGGTGACAAACGAGCACATAGTCCACTTGATGGTAAGTGGATGCTGTGGCCCATAGACATCTACATTCGATTAAGAATCAAAATGCAGATGTGTTGTCACCCCTGAGGACTAAGATGGAATGTCTCGTTTCCAGTAAAACGGGTCTCCGGTTCTCTACACTCACCATACGAAACACAGCAGCATTAAGCTGCTATTTCACGCTGGTTTTCTGTGAAAGCGTGGTCGTTCCCCGGTCGAGCCGACACATTCATGGTGCAACCATAATATATACCATATTAGAACAGATTAGAATATATTTTACTCAGTATAGATTTAAAAAATACTTAATATTATGTACAATCTGCCGCAGGGTATGTATGTGATCTATGGTACTGAAGCCTTTTCGGAAACCGGCTTGTTCAGGAGGCTGGAAGTCGTTGAGTCTGCGTGCGAGACGATTCGTAATGACTCTCGAAAACAGCACGTAGACGCGGCTCAGAAGGGAAATCGGTCTGTAGTTCTTCAAGAGAGCGTTGTCGCCCTTCTTGAAAAAGAAGACCACCGCACTTCTGCTCCACGCCTCCGGAGTAGTGCCACCATGGAGGACAGAATTGAAGAGCTTCTGAAGGATTTCAAGTACCGCGTACCGCTTTCAGAAACTCCGCTGTAATTCCATCCTCGCCTGAGGCCCTGCCGTTTTTAAGGTGCTGGAGAGCCGTTCTAATCTCGCTCAGACTGACGTCCGGGATATCATCGGAATAGTGTCGGGTAAGACTTGCTCTTGGATCGTTACTCACACTTGCATGTGGCTCCAACGATGATGTGTACAGCTGCCCATAGAACCTCTCAATCTCACTCAAAATCTCAGGTGTCTCGGAAACGATGCTGCCACCCTCAGTCTTCAGCTTTGACAGTTGGGTCTTTCTGGCAGACAGATCTCTGGCAAAGACTTTGGAGCCCTGGTTCCGCTCGATCGCTTCTTTAATACGAGCAGTATTAAAGTTGCGTAAGTCTCGCCGCATGCATTTGGAGATCTGTCTGTTCAGTTGCCTGTATGCTGTCAAATATGTTGACGATTGCAGCCTCATCTCCCGTCTAACAGCCATGAGATTAAGAGTGTGATCGGAGAGTTTTTGTGTTCTTCTGCGGCGGGTCTTGCAGAACTTAGCTTCGACCGCATGGACAGTTTCCACGAGCTTGTCATTCATGGCGTCCACTGCATTGCAATCTTCTAGGCACTGAAAGAGGTTACGTAACTCGAGCTGAAAAGTCTCGGGATTCTGGATTAGAGCACGAGGGGGACGGAGCGTTGACTTCATTAGAAGAGACCTCTCCAACTTAACGTTTAGGTTCAGTGTGCCTCTAACTATTCGGTGATCGCTGCCGGTTTTCACCCTTGCGATCACTGAGACATCACTGAACAGTTGGCGTCTGGTCGTCATAATGAAGTCAATCTCATTTTTTGTCAAACCGTCGGGGCTCAACCAGGTCCACTTTCTGTGGGGCCGCTTCTGGAAGAAAGAGTTCATCATAAAGAGTCCCTCTTTCTCCATAAAGTCAGCCAGCTGCTGGCCCCTACGGTTCCGTTGCCCTACTCCAAATTTCCCTAACTTCAGCTCACCGCTTTCTCTTGCGCCTAGTTTTGCGTCTCCCATCAACACCGTGTAGTGGGTTTTGGAGGAATGTATGGCTCTAGAAATATCCTCATACATTTCCTCCACCTCCTCATCGGGATGTGCCGAGGTTGGTGCGTAGACCTGTATGACCTTCAGCGAATACCGTTTGGTGATTCTGAGTATCAGGTACGCGACCCTCGTCGACACACTCCCAATCTTTACAACGTTGTTGACGAGAGACTTGTGGACGATAAATCCGACACCTCCTTGGGACAGATGGTCGCCCTCCCGGTGATAGAACAAGTTGCCAGACTCGAGGATTACCGTGTCCTCCCCCTCTCTTCGGACCTCAGATAATCCAATAATATGCCAGCGCAACTTGTCTCCTTCTTCTCCCAGCTCCAGTATCTTCTCGTCAGTCCTCAGGGTGCGTGCGTTATACGTTGCCAGGTCGAGTCGTCGTAGGTGGCAACCGAACCTCCACCGGAGATTCTTAGCACCCCCTGCCCCACCGTTACCATGGTTGCCACCGTAGCCAGGAATAGCGGGCCGCCGGGAACTGGGGGCCGTTTATTTGCGTCGCTGCTCATGGGGGGATATTTGCCATAGTTGCCACGCTTGGCGAGCGGGTTGGCAACCGCAGTTTTTTTGTTATGCTATTGTTGTTATTAGGAAGATGCTGCTGCCCACCTCCTTTCTGTGTCCCTCTGTCGCCTCTTACGACACCCACGGGAAGATATGGGGTAGTGGATATTCTCAACCGCCACTACACGAGATCTATTGATTGATATTGAAGATACAATCTGCCACTTTGCCTGACGTATGTGGACTATGAGAAAGCCTTTAATTCCGTCGAAATTTGGGCGGTGCTACAGTCCCTTCAGCGGTGCCAAGTTGACTGTCGATTTATCGAAGTGCTGAAGCGTTTGTACAGTAGGGCTACGATGGCTATCCGCATACAGAATTAGAGCTCGAAACCTATCCAACTGCAGAGAGGTGTAAGACAGGGTGACGTTATGTCCCCGAAACTCTTCACCGCTGCATTGGAAGACGTTTTCAAGCTACTGGACTAAAAAGGACACGGTATTAACATCAATGGCGAGTACATCACTCACCTTCGATTTGCCGACGATATAGTCCTTATGGCAGAATCGCTGGAGGACCTTAGCACTATGCTCAATGACCTCAATGGTGTCTCCCAACGGATAGGTCTTAAGATGAACATGGACAAAACAAAGATCATGTTTAATGTCCATGTCTCACCTATGCCGGTAGTTGTTGGGAGCACTATGCTCGAAGTTGTTGACGAGTACGTTTACCTGGGACAAATAGTCCGACTAGGTAAGTCCAACTTCGACCGAGAGGTCAATCGACGGATTCAACTCGGCTGGGCAGCGTTCGGGAAATTACGACACATCTTCTCGTCAGCTATACCTCAGTCTCTGAAAACTAAAGTGTACAACCAGTGCGTGTTGCCAGTGATGACTTACGGATTAGAGACGTGGTCCTTAACTGATGGCCGTTTGAGGACGCTCAAGGTCGCTCAGCGAGCTATGGAGAGGGCTATGCCCGGAGTTTCTCTGCGTGATAGACTCAGAAATGAGGATATCCGCAGTAAAACCGGAGTGACCGACATAGCCCAACGGATTAGTAAGCTGAAGTGGTAATGGGCCGGCGATATAGCTCGAAGAACCGATAACCGATGG